GCCGCGGGGTGCCGGAATATGGTGGTTGTGCTTCCCTTCGTAGGTGGTGATGACTGCCCTTAAATCGTGGGACGCTCTCTCTATATGCTTCCTCACTCCACATCCTCCGTACGTGCACTTGTAGTAGCTCCTATAATTAATTAATTAATTATTTATTTATTTATTTTGCAACACATAACAGAATTAACTGCCTTTAAAAATTAAAATTAGGGTTTAATTATTTTACTGACCTTGCATTTGGATTTCCCTTGACGATTTTCTGTCCATATTTTCTCCACCAATATCCATCGTCTAATTTGTCGATGTTACTGATTGTTTGAACCACAACCCTCTGATCTCTCACCGCTCTGCTTCCTCCTCCACGTAATATTTCTTTTTCACTCTCACTTTTCCTGCCCAAACCAAACCAAAATAAAATTTAATAAATCTTTTGTTTTTAATTTCGTGTTTTTTTAATATCTCTATTGTTAATATAGATTTGTGTTGTGTTTGATTTATTTTTTAAAAGTGTTTTTTCAATTGGTAGTGTTGGGAATTTGGGATAGAATTTTTGAAATGATATTGACTGATTGAAAGTACTTTTTTTATATAATTAAAAGTAGATTGAAATGTTCTAAAAACACTGGTTTAATTTTGAAAAATTGCTCGTAAAATAGATACTTCACTTGAAAATATTTCAAAAAAAAAAATCCAAGGAAACTACATGTATTTGTTGGACATAGAATCAAGAGGGTATGAATGTTAAGGCATGTTAGCAAGTGTTTTCAGTAAATTACAAATTTAGTCTTGAAGTATCAAAATTTTTGTATAGTAGTTCGTTCTCTTTAAATCAGGGATGTCCATTTTATTGTGGGATCCTGTCCCAACAACGACACGTCAAAATGGGGTGTAGAATCCCTATTTAGATTCTTCACACGAAACGAAGGAGGGAAAATTTTTCACCTCCACCTAAATCGGGACGGAATAGGTTCCCATCCCCATCCTCCATTCTCCACCTCCAAGTCATTTTTTGAATCTATATATACACACTAAAATAATTTTATTCTCCTTTTTATATATACATATACTAAAAAATCTGATATTCTTTTCTACCTACATGTCCAACATGTATATTTGGAAGAATTAGACTTTGCAGATGTGGTTTTACTTTAGAAATGAAGCAGTTATGTAAAAATTTCTTTGGAAAAAAAATATTATTGAAAAATAATTTAAAAGATAAAAAATAAATGATAGAATATTTCTTATGGGAAGCCTAATCCCCGTGAATTTCTCTGGGAATCCCGCCTAATCTCCACAAAATTTCGGAAAGGATAGGAAATTAAATGGGGGATAGAGTAGGCTTCTCCACCTCGTGAACATTCTTAGTTTAAATTTTTCAAAGCAAAATTAAAAACTTAAAATTTGAGGTCATGAGTCCAACCACTCGTTGTATAAAAAAAAAAAAAAAAAACTTAAAATTTTGTTATGCTTTTTAACTATAAGTCGAAAGATATATCATATACAACTCAGAAGTATTAATTTTAGGCACAAAACATATTATTTAACCAAATAAATGAGCACCAACCTTAAAATTTGAATTTCGTTTGGCGAAGATAATGAAGTAAATAGCCATAATCCTAAAGGGGGGTTTTGGAAAACAAACCATGTTGTGGCATCAAATTCAAACTCATCATCGTGTCCAATACTTGCAACTGAAGAATTCTGGGCTGAGGATCTTGTCGGGAACTCTGTTTTTGGATGGTTGTGTTTGCTCTTATAAACAATCTCTGTAATTCGGCCATTCAAACATTTCTCAACCTGTTTCCTCGCAGGGCAATTCTGGTGCGTACACTTGTAATAACTTCGCGGATTTTCACTTCCTTTCACCACTTTTTGGCCGTATTTTCTCCAATTAAACCCGTCCTCAGATGCTCTGTTTCTCTGATTTTCAGATCAAATAAAATCACACGCCATTCGCCAAGGAATTTAAATTCAATTAATGGGTTTTGTTTGAGTGTTGTTTTTGTAACTTTACCGTTGAGAATTCGGGCAATTTGTTGTTGTGTATGTGTGTGTGTTCTTCTTTGATGTTGTTCTCTTGGTGTTGGCCGGAGTTGTCTCTGTTTCCGGTCGAAGCCCCGGCGGAAAACGCTCCGGTTGTCGGCGACGGCGGAATCTGCAGATGAAATTGAAATATATTTATATAATTATGAATCAATACATAGAAAAAATAATGGGAGAGGAATTATCGAGTTACATGAGAAGAGTTGAGGAGGAGAGGGGAGTGGAGGAATTGGGAGGGGCTGAGGCCAGGAGGGATGGTGAAGAAGGAAGAAGAAGGAGGAGGAGACAACAATGGCGGATTTGAAGATGAATTGGGTTTAGACATGGCGGACTCTGAGAAGAAGAACTCCATCGCCATTGAAGATGAAGAAGAAGAATAAGAACAACTTTTTGGAGAGGAGTTTGATTTGTAAGGCGTGGAGAAGAAATATGTTACGTTGATTTTAATCTTGTTCAAAGGCTCTGACTTTGACTATGGCTCGCCTGCTAACTGCATTTTATTATAATTCAATTTCTCATGTACATCTGTCTAAAGTTTTTTTTTATTATAATTAATTTAGGATAGTTCAACTAGTTAAAGATATATATCATCGGTTTGAATCTTTCATGTAATATATATATTTATATATAGAATTTGAGCCGACTTGTGAAAAAATAATGTTAATGTTAATGTTTCATTAATTCATCTATACTCATGCAAATATGTTCTTTATTCATTAATATATTGTAAATTTAAGGATCAAAATAGGATATGAGGATTCAACTTCATGACTTTTATGGAAGAAGGTTAACGATATGTTTTAATTGAGTTTATTATTATCATTATTACACTATAAAATCACAAAAGTGGAAGGTGAGAATACAAACTTTTGATCTATGAAATGTTATTAATGTCTTAATTATTCGGTTATGTTTAGTTTCGTCTAAATCATGTGATTTATATAAATATATTTATTTATTTTGAAAATGATCATGTGATAGTATTAGTGTACAATAGTCATTAAAATGCTATTGGGTGATATCAAAGTCTCTAGTAGATTTAACTGAGAATTGAAAATTGTGTTATCTACCTGAACTATACTCGAATTATACTCAAATTAGGTATAAAGTTTTAATATTTTTTGATAATCATAAATTTAAATTTCCTTTTTATCATTAGTAATGATGAGTAATGTGGATATCTTACTGAGAAAGACCAATCAAATTGAAGTACCAAACATTTTGTAACAAGTGCTCTAACTTGTAATTGAAGAGGGAAAATGATAATATTATTTAAAACGATACATATATGTTTAAATATATTTTTTTGTTTAACTTTCTTTGGTCATTTTTATTTCAACATTTATTTAATTTTAGTTCATGTACTCACCAAACGAATTCTCTAAATTTTGTTATCAAAATAAATTGGGATAAAAATAAGAATAAATGAAAAAAATTGATAACTTTTAAAAAGTATAGAGACCAAAATAAACCTTTCATAATACACAAACTAAAAATAAATAAAATTTAAAAGTACATCACGACCATAAAACACTTTGAGAGTATACAGATCAAAATGGACAAAAATTAAAAACACTGACAATCGTAAATATATTATTGCATTTTTACAAGGAAACGCAAGGAGTACCCCTTTCTTCCACCTGGCTCCCTCTCGTCCCCGCAGGTGATAACTTATTTGAAGGTTATGTATGTTTGACCAACATAAATTAATTAATGAATGTCATGTTTTATTAAAGAAAGAAATCCAAGACAATTTGCAAATAATTTATTTCTTTTAAAATGCAAAACAAATAATTTTGAACTATTTTTAAAAATGTTTTGTTGAGGGAAAAATTTGATATTAGAAAACTCAATTATTAAACGGGTCCATAAATTTCAATAATATCGGTTCATACGTCGAGAGATATATGTATAAGAAAAACTATACACTTTGACTTTATTGATCACTAACCATATTATTCTAAAATTTTCGAACATAATAGAAAAAAAAAGTAAGTTCATTATTGACAACCCAAAGTCTCAAACACACCATTTTAATTAACATTATAAATTGAATTTTAAATCAAAGTGATGATCATTATAAAATGGACAATCCAGTAATGAAATTTTGGTTGACAGAAGCAAAAATAGCTTTGACTTGACTACAAAAGAAAATGAGGCAACACCCTGGGGGAGATTTCTCTTAATATTGTAATTTACCCAACAAAGAAAAATGTTAAAAGTGGACAAATTCAAAAACTTGAAACTCACTCCTAATTCTACCAAAAGAGGAAGCAACAATTCCAAGTTCATATTTTCAAACATATGGCCATTTGCATGAATACAAAGGCCATCTCCGTGGTACCGTGTCATGTTGTGCCAAATCTCTCGCCCCCACAAGAAGGCCTGCTTTGGCGTCGGGGGTGCGTGGGGCAAGCACAAAGTGTCTCGGCTTGCCTGCATAGAATGGGTTGCAGGAGCTTCGGTGCTGAGGAAAGAGGACCAAGCTGTGAATCTTTAGTCATTGACTCTGTTGAATTGAATATCAAGCAAGAAATCTGTTCCCATTTTGCATTTTTGGATCATGCCTTAATTTAAAACTACTTGTCTCAAGTATGTGAATCTGAGAAATCTTTGCCATGGATTATGTTGAGTCTCCCAAACTTCTCCCGCTGCGCAAGTTCCAATCTTTATCGTCTTGGTCAACCTGCAAGCAACAAGGGTTTATCGGCATTTAGTCCTAGCTTCCTTTAGGACTTGGTCATTCACATGGAAAATGTCAAAATTTGGGGTTGTGCGGACAGGTTTTCTTACTAAGAATCACGGAATAGAAGGGACCGACGTGACATAACATGAGCCATCTTAAGTATATACATAATTCTGTCTGGTGGGAAGTCAATAAGCTTCATGCTAAGGAGTTTGGTACTAAGCATAGTTTGAAGAAAAGAAAAGGAAAAAAAGAAGACCTATCATCTATATGCGAAGTGATGCAGTGTTCAGTAAGTATCCCACACAAACTCATTACTCATGGTTTCAATTGTATAGCCTTTTATGGACAAAAACAATACACGAGGTTGAACGTTTCGAAAAACAAAATTTTCTGCGACCTGAATTTTTACACTACTCGACAAATGGAAACAGGAAAGGTTATGAAGCAATATTTGTAGATTTAGATTACAATGACATTGAAAGAGATTAACAGGCTAAGCTAAGGTTACTGGAAAGTATTCGAAAATGAGTACCTGGAATGCTTTGTCCCTCCAGTACAATACGCATCCATGGGATTCCATGTACTTGGAGAAAGATGGAGGAAGCTTGGATTTGAATGACAGATGCAGCTTTACCTTTCGTAGAGTACCACACACCAGCAGGGCGGCAGTGAGGCCATTCGGAGTCAAGCCAGCCAAATGCAAGATGGTCATGTTCCTCAGGCAATTAATGCTTGCTAGCGACAATAGCCCAACATCTGTAACTGAACAGTACGACAAGTTTATCTGCACCAAAAGAGGAAAATCTTTAACGGTATGATCTACACCAACCACATTTTGCTCATCAATGGAGAATATAGGATAGGACTATACCTGCTTGAGGTTGTGGGAGAATCGGGCAAGTGGAAGCATCCCATCATCATTTACATTGACACATTTCTTTATATCCAGCACAGTTAGTTGCTTACATCCCATTGCTATGGCGGAGAGGCCAACTGATGAAATGCAACAACAGCCTCGAATTTCAAGTGCTTTTAACCTCAAACATTTTGACAATGATATTAACGAAGAATCTGTAACTTTAATGTTATAAGCAATGTTAATCATCTCAAGAGCAGGGCAACCACCAGCGATTGCTGCAATGCCTCTGTCTGTTATTCCGGTTGACCTAACCCAAAAAAAAAAAAAGGAAAAAGACATAACTTAAACATTATTACAGGAAAAACATGTTCTAAATCTTCAAAAAGGGCTTAACCCAGCACAATAGACAATTCAGTTGGAGTACATTTCTAGTCTTTATTCTAGCTCCTACAACGTTATAGTACTTAAAAATTTTCTTTTGGGTAATGATTAAATAACCAGCCTGCAGTTTACAATCAAAACATCAATCTATAGATCTACATTAGTGACTATTCAGCTTAGAAAATGTGAAAAGATGCAGAAGCTTTTTAAGAGCAAAATATCTATAGGGGCGCACTCGAAGACTGAGATAAGCAATAACAGGTGATAGTGAAGAAATTTTATTCATTCTTGACAAACAATCTTGAATATGTGAATCCCAAAAGCAGATGCTCCCTTACTAAACTTCTATCAAGGTAGCAAGCTAATTCCCTCGAGCTCCCTAAAACTCAAACAGAGGATTCTGAAGGTTGACATCAAACCTGTACAAATCAAGCTCTTTGATTTTTGGACAACCACTTGCAATGTGCAATAGACCATCATCATTTATATTCGAGCAAATCCCCAGCTTTAGAACACTAAGCCTTGAACATTTTGAGACTGACTTCAAACCTAAACAAAAGAAGCAACTTTAATGTTATTAACAGAAGAGCTTCATGCATTATGTAACGTAAAAGGAGAGCTGAAATCCTGTTTAACCTTCATTGTCAATCTCATTGTCAGTGACATCAAGTTCCTCCAAGAATGGACAGCGTTCTCCTATCAAGACATAAGCCTCTCTAGGAACAAGGCTACAGGATTCCATCTTAAGAGAAACGAGGGAGGAACACGAACTTGTAATGCTGTTAATGGATGCAAAAGTTATCTTACGGCAGCACATGATGTCTAATTTTCTCAACTGCTTGTGTTTTTGCACAAGGATGGAAAGGCACTCGTCCATCACGCCCGAGCACTTGCTTAAGCTCAGCTCCTTGAGTGATGCACGCCAATTTGCAATGGCTCTAACCCCAGAAGAGGTGAGTGAACAACAATCTAATTTAATCGATTGCAAACCCGAAAAACTATGCAGACATTTTGCCACGTCTGTTGTGACCTAAGGCAACAATAACCTATATAAGCAGAAGAATCTCAAATAATCACCAAATACAACCATAACAGTATTCCACACTTACTGAAGAGCCATATGATAAGATTAGCTGTTGAAGGTCTTGAGCGCCATTTATCAAAGAAGACAAACCAATATGACTTATACTTTTACAGTGAGACAGATTAAGCAACTGCCAACAATTTTGCACTTATGTCAATAGAAATTACGTTTAAACTGCAGAGGAATATTGCTCCATCAGAGGAAAAGGTCATACTGACAGTATAACATAGGTACCGAGAGAATGTACCTTCAATGAGTTGCTCTTGCAGTGACGTTCTAGGACTGCAAGTCCATCATCGATTCCATGGCAACCCTCGAGGACTAGCTCCTCAAGTTTTTGCAGTTGAAGAATAGTCGAAAGACATTTCTCAGTGATCTATAGCAAAAATATTCATTAGCTTCGAAAGAGAGGGAAGAACATGAGAGGAGGAGGAAGGAATTTAGTACCGGTAAGAAAGAGAGGTCCAAACTCCTTAGCTCATGGCACTTCCTTCCAATCAAATCAACCCCCAAATCAGTAATACGAAGGCACCAATTCAAGCACAAGTGTTTCAACTTTCTACATCCAACAGCCACACAACCAATCCCCATATCCGTAATCGATTTGCACCTCGCCAACCACAATTTCTCCAAGTTTTTGGCCTCTGCTATGACCTTCAACGCGGAGTCCGTCAGAGCCACCCCGTTCGACAAGTCAATCTCAACCAGTCCAGCACAATTCGAAACCAAGCTCGACAATCCAACAGTGGTAAACGATCTAGAGCGGGATAGATCCACAGAACGCAGCGTCATTTTCCAAGCACGCGATATCGAAATCAGAAATGTATCCTCCACGTGATGGCAAAGGGAAAGGTCGAGCTTCGAAATGGAAGGGAAGCGCGGGGCTATACTTGGAGTCAAATCGGAGCGCAGCGGCCTGAGAGATTTCCGCTGGCGCGATTCGATGGCGTGGAAGGACTTGCAGACGAGAGAGAAGGATTTCCGAGAAAAGGGATCGTCGTGAAGATGGCCAACAATCAAGAACACGATCTCCTCCGTGAGATGATCAAAGGGGCCGGAAGATGGGCAATCCATGTCAATGGTCTTGAGGTTTTTCAGAGATGGAGCAGAATCAAAGTTGGAGAACATGGTGAATTCAGAAATGGAGAAGAACTAGAAGACGAAGGCAAGATTCGGAGGAGAAATAAAGGAACTCGCTGGCTCATGAACTGAAGCAACATTCTTCTGGAGGAGTAAGCCATTGGGGAAGTACGGAACCAAGGCGGAAGAAACAGGTGGAAAAGTGAAAGTGACTTCTAATTTTACCTTATATATATAATATATATTCAAATATTTAATCATTTCACAATTTATATCATAATTTTGTCTTTTTTTTTCTTTTAAGTTTGAAATTTATTTTTCAAAATATAGACACACGTACGTACGCACTGTCGAGGTCACGTGTCCAAATCTTCATTTTTCTAATTCGTTGTGCTAAAAAAACCTATTATTTTATCAATAAAATTACACTTGGAAAACAAATAAGAATGATAAGAGTCACCGTATACGTGCATATATATATATATATATATATATATATTCCATAAAACTTATTAAAAATGAAAAAATTTGTCCAATTTTATGGTAGGAAACCACTAAATAGGGACAGTTTTCATTTCATCCCTAGTATGTGTAATATAAGCGTCATATAAGTACCAAGAGGTTGAAAATTAGTTTTTTGAAATGTAATCAAACTTCAATAAATTGTATAGATTGTTTGAAACTTTTGGTCGAATATTTAAATTATTACCCTATATTTCATATTACACTTTAAAGGGGTGATATTTATAAAATATTAAGAATGAAATTAAAATAAATATAAAGTATAAAAATGGAAATTATATATTTAGTAATTAGTATAAATTTAAAAGAAAAAAGGAAAATAGTATAGAATTTAAATGGAAAAAACAAAAAGGGAATGGAGGTGACAATTGGTGGAATAGACATATGAGGAAGGCGGAAGTAGAAGGACGGAATGCAACTGCACGTGGTACGGGATCGTAGTGGGGCCCACCGCACTTGGTGAAAAACGTACTTGGAGTTGGGGTGGATTCTACCTCTTGTCTCCCCTACGCTCTCATTTCAGAGCGTGGATCTCACCGTCCAATCACCACTTAACATGCTTCTTTTTCGGTCTGAATCTGACTCATCCACACGTGGCATTGGACCGGCTCAGGCCTACTCATATGGATCCTAAATTAATCCCTCCGTCTACGAGGCCCAACAACTGGCCCATTTGTTCCAGAGCATGGGCTCAAAATTAATCCCTTCATTTACTCTCTTTAATAAACGATAATTAAATCCTGTTTAATATATTTATATTTCTCACCCTAATTTTATGTATTGTTTTTTCCAGTCAATTTCACAAAAGTCAAAACTTAATCCTATATATATGGGTAGATGAGTTATGAATGGAAAACTTTGTAAACCTAAATTATGTATTTGTGGTTTGATGAAAAGAGGCCGCAAGAATTATTATGATATATAATGAAATCAAATTAAATGAGTTTTCTTTTTCGTTTTATAATTGACAAATAATTGGAGATTTGAATCTCCAAGTTTTTGGTCGAAAATAGATTGAGTTGAATAATGACCCTGATGTTGTCTTCGTTTGCTCTATGATCTCCATGATCCATTGATACCATTTTCACACAAAAAAAAGAAAAAAAAAAGCGTTAAAAACTGTAAATGGCTTTTCATAAAAGTGATAAACAGTACGTCGGCAGTTATTATTTGTGACAATTGCTCGGCATCTACATACACAACAACGTCATCTTCATATCAACGGTTTCTTTTGTAAACCGTGCAAAAACAATGCCAATCTATCAGTTATATTCTTTCAACACCTATAAATATATATAAAAGACTTGCAAAAATTAACATCAAACACAAGATTTTGAAATATAGCAGCAATGGCACGAGCTAATTACCTCATTGTTGCTCTATCACTCCACATGATTTTGCAGCTATTTCTTAGCAAACCATCGATTGCCTTAGCGCCTACAACATCTCTGTCTTTTCCTGCCATCCTCATTTTTGGTGATTCTACAGTGGATACTGGGAATAACAACTTCATCTCCACCATTTTCAAGACTAATTACTTTTCATACGGCAAAGATTTTCCCGATCATGTTGCTACTGGAAGGTTCAGTGATGGAAAACTAATCCCTGACATGGTGGCTTCTAGGCTGGGGATAAAGGACCTTGTTCCTCCATTTTTGGATCCAAAGCTATCAGATGATGAAGTGAAAACAGGGGTCAGTTTTGCATCGGCTGGCACTGGCTTTGATGATCTGACGGCCATTGTGCCCAAAGTCATTCCTGTGATGAAGCAGATTGATCTGTTCAAGAATTACATTCAAAGGCTTCAAGGAATTGTGGGTGTGGAAGAAAGTGAGAGGATTATTGGCGATGCTCCGATGTTATTAGTGCAGGAACAAACGACTTCAACTTCAATTTTTACGACCTTCCCACCAGGCGACTACAGTTCGATATTGGTGGATACCAAGATTTTATAGCAGAATAGACTACAAAACTTGATCCAGGTAAGTTATACAATAAACCCATTAATCCAATTAAAAATGTTCAAATTCTAAGTTTAGTCCAACATTGCAAGATATATCTATTTAATATTTATATTTTAAAAAATTTATTCGTGTGTTGTAAGTTCCTTTTGTGGTCAACACCGCGTTTACGCAGTGTCACAAATATTTGAACATACCAAAAAAAAAAACTAAAAGGTTAAATGATAAAACTTGTAATTAAAGCTAGTCAAAACCCTTAGTGTCGCATAGTTTTTTTTTTAATCCAAAAAAATGATATATTGACAGAATTATAACGTGAAAATGGACGGGAAATTTACCAGCTTGGATGTCGCAATATGGTGGTTGCTGGACTTCCTCCAATTGGTTGCCTTCCTATTCAAGAGACTATAGCATTTGAGAATCCTCTAGACCGAAAATGTTTGGGTTATCAAAACTCAGATTCCCAAACTTACAATTAGAAGCTTTCAAAATTGCTGGGCAATTTACAGCCGCAACTCCTTGGAAGCACAATTCTCTATACCGACATTTACACCCCACTCATCAACCTGATCAATAAGCCTCACAATTATGGTAAGTCAGTACCTATTCAAGATTGGAAAAATCATGTAATCAATGAATCTAATGCAGCAAATATTTGATGGAAGTCAAGTTTTGGAAACTGTTTTCACCTAAAATTCTTTGGATTGAAACTAATACAATACATGTTTGAGGGAAGTCGAGTTTTGGAAACTATTTTCACCTAAAATTCTTTTGGCCCATGAATCTAATGCAGTAAATATTAGTACGGAATTCGATTTTTGAATACTATTTTCACCTCACATTCTTTTGGACATTTCATCAAACAGGTTTTGAGCAGACAAACATAGGTTGCTGCGGAACGGGGTTGGCAGAAGCAGGACCTCTGTGTAATCCAAAAACCGCAACATGTGAAGACCCATCAAAATTCATGTTTTGGGATAGCATTCATCCGACTGAAACAACCTACAAGTTCATAGCCGATTCGCTTCTTGAGCAACTTGGCGAACACCTGATTCGAAACTGATGTCATTTTATCGGGTTCTAGTTCTAGGGTTCACCTCTTGAAAACCTTTAGCTAATTTAAAACGAAAATTTGTCCTTATGTGTATTCGCAAGATTTCTTTCAAATTATTCACAGAGAAAAAGGATCCATACACGCAAAATTTAAAGTTCTCTCAAGACCCAATATCTGTCCGTGAGTTAAATTTTAATAGCAGAGATTTATTTACACTCATTTTATATGCTGTCGAATATGATATTTGTCTGCGGATTAATACATTGTCTTTCTAGAGAGTAAACCGCTATACTAAAATAATTCTATCATCATCTTTATATATACATATACCAAAAAAATAATGTATTCTTTCCTACCCACCTAATATATATATACATATATTTTTTTTTTGTGGAGATTCAAACCTTGTAATTAAAATGAGATTTTATCTTTAGAAATTAAGCAATTATATAAAAGTTTAAAAAATATTTATTAAAAAATAAAAAAGAAATAGCAGAAAATTTTCCACAGGGAACCCGACAAGTCCCCACGAATTCTCAAAGAAAAATCACCGCCCCAATCTCGACGAGATTTCGTGAAGAATTTTGCTGAGATGAGGAATTAAAGGAGGGGCAATGGTTCTAAATAATCAATGGGCAATAATGACGAATTATTTATTGTTTAGTTTTTTTCAATTGGATTTGATAAATTTCATACTCTCTTTAATAAACGATAATTAAATTCTCAAAACGAGCAAATCAATAATCAGCATAGGCAAGTTTTGAATTTCATCCCCTACCCCACGTATTATACTAAAAAAACAATAATTAAATTTTATATATTTCTCACCCTAATTATACCTATTGTGTGTATAATACTTCAACAAAAAAATAATAATAATAAACACACAAAAAAAAATCAAACTCAAAATACTTCAATCCTTTAATGGCTCTCTCTTCACATAAACACGGCTCAAAACTGTTGAATAGCGTTTAAAAAAATAATAAATAAATAAATAAAGACAAACTCTTGAATGATAATATTATTTATTAAAAAAACTCATATTTTGTCCACATAAGATGAAAGCATTTACAATCCGTAACCGTCTGGTGTAACTAAATATATCAAATTAATTGACAAATTAACTAATGGAACTTAATCAACAAAAGTTATCGCAGACAATTACTCCAATGCCATTTAGAAAAAAAAACAAAAAAGATAATTACTTCCTATGTTAAAAGACTAAATTGTTAAAAGGGAAAACAGTCGACAGTTATGTTCAGCGTCTAAGTATACAACAACTTCTTCGTATCAAAGGTTTCTTTTGCAAACCATGCAAAAACCAAAACAAGCTTCTAGTTATATCCTTCAACCCTATAAATATATCGACAAGACCTTGCAAAAATTAAGATCAAACACAATAACTTGAAAAATAAAGGGAATGACACGAGCTAATTACCTCGTTGCCGCTCTATCACTCCACATGACTTTGAGCTATTTCTTAGCAAACCATCGATGATTCTATCGTGGATACTGGGAATAACAACTTCATCCCCACCATTTTTAAGGCTAATTACTTTCCATACGTCAAAGATTTTCCCGGTCATGTTGCTACTGGAAGGTTCAGTGATGGAAAACTAATCCCTGACATAGTGGCTTCTAGGCTGGGAATAAAGGACCTTGTTCCTCCATTTTTGGATCCAAAGCTATCAGATGATGAAGTGAAAACAGGGGTCAGTTTTGGATCGGCTGGCACTGGCTTTGATGATCTGACGGCCATTGTGCCCAAAGTCATTCCTGTGATGAAGCAGATTGATCTGTTCAAGAATTACATTCAAAGGCTTCAAGGAATTGTGGGTGTGGAAGAAAGTAAGAGGATTATTGGCGGTGTTCTCGTTGTTATTAGTGTAGGAACAAACGACTTCAACTTCAATTTTTACGACCTTCCCACCAGGCGACTACAGTTCGATATTGGTGGATACCAAGATTTTATACAGAATAGACTACAAAACTTGATCCAGGTAAGTTATACAATAAACCCATTAATCCAATTGAAAATGTTCAAATTTTAAGTTTTGTCCAACCTTCCAACATATATCTATTTAGTATTTATACTTTTAAAAGTTTATTCGTGTCTTGTAAGTTCTTTTCGTGGTTAACACAGTTTGCTTACACGGTATCGTCAATACTTGAACATACAAAATCGGAAAAACCTAAAAAGTCAAAATAACAGAACTTGTAATTAAAACTAGTCAAAACTTTTAGTTTTCTACGTAGTTTTTTTAACCCAGAAAGTGATGTCTTGACAGAATTATAATGTGAAATGGACAGGAAATTTACCAGCTTGGATGTCACAATATGGTGGTCGTCGGGCTTCCTCCAATTGGTTGCTTTCCTATCCAAGAGACCATAGCATTTGAGAATCCCCTAGATCGAAAATGTTTGGGTGATCAAAATTCAGATTCCCAAGCTTACAATCAGAAACTTTCAAAGCTTCTAGGCAATTTACAACCACAACTTCTTGGAAGCACAATTCTCTATGCCGACATTTACACCCCACTCATCAACATGATCAATAATCCTCACAATTATGGTAACTCAGGACCTATTCAAGATTGGAAAAATCATGTAACCAATGAATCTAATGTAGCAAATATTTGATGGAATGAAGTTTTAGAAACTGTTTTCACCTAAAATTTTATTGGGCATTAAAACTAATGCAGAACATTTCTGAGGGAAGTCGAGTTTTGAAAATTATTTACACTTAAAAAGTTTTTGGGCATTGAATCTAATGCAGCAAATATTAGTAGGGTAGTAGAGTTTTGGATGCTATTTTCACCCAACATTCTTTTGGGCATTTCATCGAATAGGTTTGGAGGAGACAAACATAAGTTGCTGTGGAACAGGATTGGCAGAAGCAGGACCTCTACGTAATCCAAAACCGCAACGTGTGAAGATCCATCAAAATTCATATTTTGGGATAGCATTCATCTGACTGAAACAACCTACAAGTTCATAGTTGATTCGCTTCTCGAGCAACTTGGTGATCACCTGATTCGAAATTGATGCACTTTTCAAGAATAATGAAGTGAAAACAGGGGTCAGTTTTGCATCGGCTGGTACTGGCTTTGATGATCTGACGGCCATTGTACCCAATGTCATTCCTGTGTTGAAGCAGATTTATATGTTCAAGAATTACATTCAAAGGCATGAGGATTATTGGCAGTGCTTTGGTTGTTATCAGTGCAGGAACAAACGACTTCAACTTCAATTTCTACGACCTTCCCACTAGGCGGCTGCAGTTCGATATTGGTGGATATCAAGATTTTATACAGAATAGGCTACAAAACTTAATCAAGGTAAGTTATACAATAAGCGAATGAAAATGTTCAAATTCTAAATTTAGTTCAAACTTTCAAGATATATCTCTTTAGTATTTATATTTTTAAAAGTTTACACGTATCTTGTACCTTCTTGTTTTTGTTAACACTATTTGTTTAGACTTGTGTACTAAATACTTGAACATACAAAATCAACTAAACCTAAAAAGTTGCAGAACTTGTAATTAAAGTTAGTCAAAACTATCTGGGTTTTGCTAGTTTTTTTAACTTCAAAAAGTGATATCGTGACAAAATTATAATGTGAAAATGGACAGGAAATTTACCAGCTTGGATGTCGCAATATGGTGGTCGTCGGGCTTCCTCCAGTTGGTTGCCTTCCCATTCAAGAGACCATAGCATTTGAGAATCCCCTGGATCGAAAATGTTTGGGTGATCAAAACTCAGATTCCCAAGCCTACAATCAGAAGCTTTCAAAGTTGTTAGGCGATCTACAATCACAACTCCCTGGAAGCACAATTTTCTATGCCGACATTTATACCCCACTCATCAACATGATCAATAATTCTCGCAATTATGGTAAGTCAGTACCTACACCAGATTGGAAAAATTATGTAATTATTGAATCTTATGCAGTAAATATTCAAAGGAAGTCAAGTTTTGGAAACAGTTTTCACCTAAAATTCTTTGGGCATTGAAAATAATGTTGTACATGTTTGACGGAAGTTGAGTTGTGGAAACTATTTTCATCTAAAATTCTTTTTGCATTGAATCTACTGCAGTAAATATTAGTAGGGAAGTCGAGTTCTGAATATTATTTTCACCTAACATTCTTTTGGGCATTTCATCGAACAGGTTTGGAGCAGATTAATATAGGTTCCTGTGGAACGGGATTGGCGGAAGCAGGACCTTTGTGTAATCCAAAAACAGCAATGTGTGAAGACCCATCAAAATTCGACTGAAACGACCTACAAGTTCATAACTAATTCGCTTCTTAAGCAATTTGACGATCAACTGATTCGGAGTTAATGCCCTTTTGTGGGTTCTAGTTATAGGGTTCAGCTCTTCAAAATCTTTAGCTAATTTAAAACCAAAATTTATCCTTGTATCACGATTTCTTTTCAAATTGTTTACATAGAGAACGCTCCATGGATGTAAAATTTGAAGTTCTGTCATGACTCAATGTCATTCCCATGTGCTGAATTTTATGCTCTCCAATATGATATTTGTCCGCAGATACATTACCTTTCCAAAGAGCCAAATATATATGTGTATTTTTATTTTAAATGTTACCGTCTTTATTTATATGCTAATAATTTTCTAACTTCTAAACTAATAAATAATATTATTAATTTTGTTTATATCTTATTGTTTTAAGTATATTTATAATTCATTTCATAAAAACCTTATTTATAAATTTAATTGTTAGAATTATTATAATTAAAATCTCGGCTCTATATTTGCCGTACTAGCTTTTTTTTTTAATAGTAATGATTATTATGTTTAAATTTTATTATCAATATTCCTAAAGAAATTATTGTTCTTTATAAACATCTACTGCCTTCCCAAAGTGGAAGGTAACGATTGTTTGATGAGAAAATTTAAGCAATTCTTAAAACAACGTTTATTTGTTCATGTTTTCTTGAAATGAAATCAGTTTAGTTATTACCAATATTTTTCAAGTTCACAATATTATTAAGAAATGTTAAAGATACTATTTAGTTAAGGTAATTTATTTTATTCTTTAAAAATTTTCATTGTCAAACCGAGCATAACTCAAATGGTTTAGGCACCTATCACGTTGTACTAAAAAAAACATTTTAATCTCAATGCTTTCAAATTTGGTCCATTATAGTATTTGTAGTTTCAAAACTTAGAATTTGACCTTAATATTTCTACACACTAACTATTTTACTCCTAAAATTTTAACACAAATTATATACCCAACATAAATTTTTAATATAAAACTACATTTCAATGAATGTATTAAGTAGTATTGAAATTGTAATAAAAAATTAGATAAAAAAATGAATAGACCAAAATAATTATTCTTTTAAAATATAAAAAACTGAAGCGAAGATTTCGAAAATACAAGTGCTAAAATAAACAAAAATTAAAAGTACGTAAATAAAAATTAAAAACTAAAACAATCCTTTTCTAAATCTAGGATTAAAATAAACTACCTAAAAATTCGGAAGAAGGAGAAGTTCAAGGACAAAATGGGAAAATAAAGAAATATAAATGGGCCGAGGTGCGGGTCGGATACGGGTCGGGTTCGTGCGGCAACAGTTTGGAATTGGATAGGAATGTGTTGAATCGGCGCCACTGTAACTGTGCTTCCAAACGCCCAAATAGGTTTACCAAAACCTGCACAGCGCTGGAACTTACTCCATTTCTCGTCAAAATTCGAGCTGAATTCAGGAAAACCATAGCTCATTCAAATTCCGCAGTTGATTCTTGCGTCTTCTCCACTCGTTTCCGGGCTCCACCTCGCTCTTGACGGAGTTTCAATGGCCTCCAAGTTCGGTCTCGCCGGAGGGTTACCGGAGCGGCGAGTGCGCCCGATATGGGACGCCATAGATTCCAGGCAGTTCAAGAATGCTCTCAAAGCTGTAACATCACTGCTTTCTAAATATCCAAGTGCGCCCTACGCCCTGGTAACAAATTACACCCATGCTCTTTCTGCAGCTGAATCCGAATCTCAATGATTTCTGCTTCTTCGTACCTTGCGATGATTCTTGCTTTAGTGTTCACTGTTTCTTGATAGTAATAAGCATTTTTCTTGACAATTTGCGTGCGCTTTTCTTTTTTACCTCCATTTTTTTGTCAGTAACTAGACATTAATTGGATCACGTATAGAGCTAGAGAGCTTCTTGTTTATGCTCTCCGACCCCCGCGATAAAAAGAAAAGAAAAGAAAGTAACTTTGATAACATTTCAGCCCGCTTCGGTGTCCATTATTTGATTAATTGTTGCTATTCGTGATGAGTTCCTTTAAGCATGTAGGCCGTCTCGCTCGATACAACTCTTTTCCTCTGCGGCTATTTTCTAAGTGCAGTCTAACTCCGTCTATGTATTAACAATTTAGAATGTGTGGATGTATGATTAGCGAGTAGGTTTGAAGGTAATGGAGCAACTTGAATAATTTGCAGGCACTTAAAGCGTTGATTTTGGAAAGAATGGGGAAGCCCGATGAAGCCTTATCTGTCTGTTTAAATGCCAAAGAGCTACTGTATAACAATGATTCTATCTTGATGGATGATCTTACTCTGAGCACATTACAAATTGTGTTCCAGCGACTTGACCACAGTTAGTATAATTCACCTAATTCAGTTGATGCTAAATCCATGTTTAATGTACTTCACGTTTACTGGGAGATATCTCATTGTATCAGTGGACTTGGCGACTAGCTGTTATGAATATGCTTGTGGAAAATTTCCAAATCACCTTGATCTGATGATGGGGCTTTTCAACTGCTATGTTCGCGAATATTCGTTTGTTAAACAACAGCAGGTTATTGTCCCACACTTGCCACCTTTCCCAAACCCCAATTTTCCTTTGTATGTTAGTTCGTCTGCGACGCCATTTTTTACTGAAGCTTTTGAAATGTTCAGAGTACTCAAATTTTTTTTTATTATGTCTTTTCCCTTTCTTCCCTCGTCTTCTTCACAGACAGCTATCAAGATGTATAAGCTTGCTGGTGAAGAAAGATTTTTGCTCTGGGCAGTTTGTAGCATCCAATTGCAGGTTCTACTGGCTGTTTATACTGCTTTTCTAGCACTTACTTTCACAATCAAGAAAATAAAAAAATAAAAAAAATCAGAAAAGGAGAAAGCAAGAATGCCAGAAAACTTTACAAACAAATTATGGAGATATATTTTATGAATACACTACATATGAACAATTTAGGATTTTTGTACCATTTTATAGCTGTTGGGATCTATGATAAGACTTTTTGATATTTTTCTAAGAGGGGGAAAAAAGAAATTAGAAATACACTGCTCTGTATTAGGTGGCACCTGAGGTCGTAGACTTGAATCCACAAGCCTAACCATAACATGGAACCATTTTCCGGGAAATTAATTGCTCTTGGAACAGTTCACCTCTAAGTAGTGATTTCCTTTTCAATGTCCTAATGAATGTAGACTGTGAAGACTTGTCGAAAAAATGTTGCAACTTCATTAAATGAAAAGCATATTATTGCTAAAACATATGAGGTATTAACTGCAGTGTCAAGTGTTCATTTCTCATCTTTAAACAATATAATCTTCTATGCAATTTAGAGAGAATGAGCTCCTTTTCCAGTTTTCTAGATTTTTCTACCGTAAATATAAATATAGAGGTTAATATGACAGTTCATTCGAGTAAGTGAAGTTGATTATTGGATCTAGATTTAGGTATACATAAACAATTTACTTATGCTGCAGTTACTGAACTTCGTACAGGTGCTTTGTGGTGATGGTGGAGAAAAGCTGTTATTGTTAGCTGAGGGTTTACTTAAGAAGCACATTGCCTCCCATAGCTTACACGAGCCTGAAGGTGTAATTATTATTTTCTTGTTGTAATAACCACGGTGGAAAGTCCTTTACAATCAAAAGTGATTTATATCCATATTAATATTTGCCAATCCTTGTAGCTATTATGGTCTACATTTCAATATTGGAACAACAAGCCAAGTATGGAGATGCCTTGGAAATTCTCACTGGGAAATTGGGATCGTTATTAACAGTTGAAGTGGATAGACTTCGCATACAGGTATTTTCTAAAGCTTTTTCGATTACCATTAAGCAACAAGATTATATGAGAACTACATGATGCGATGAAAAATAATAGTGGACTTCCTCCATCAGTCTATCCTACTTATTCAATCCAGAGATATCCTATTTTCATAGGTTTCAGATGTTTGTACCAGTTAACAGAATCAATATACTGGATGGTTATAGACTTGATCAAGATTTCAGTAGATGAGGGTCTTGATTAATTATTTCACTTTCAAAGAAAGTGTTTTTCATAATTATAAGTCCTCTTCGGTTTAGTTAACAATATCACAGCTTTTTGTTCGATTTTATAACTGACTTAAGAGAACTATATTCCTGAGGATTTCAACTTGTTGCTACTTTAGACGGGAGTTTGGGAGGTTTATGAAGTGAATAGGTCTGCCATCAAGGCCAAAGATGCCCCCAATATTATTGGAATTCTCCTCATTATCCATTCAAGAAAGAGCTGTAACTCTTTGTTTGATGTTGAACTCATTATTACTGTAAGATTAGTAATCTATGTTACTAGGCTTTCACAAAGTAATGAGCTCATTTGTATTAGTGCACTTTGGCTTCAAGTTGACAGGGGAGGCTTCTTGCTCGGGCAGGTGATTTTGCTGATGCTGCCAATATATTTCAGAGAATATTGGAGTTACGGTATGCTTCCAAATCAAAGACATATCTTGATTAAATTTAGTAATAAAAATATGTGGTTATAGTTTATAGATCCAAAAAATAGGGTATTTGCCTGTTTCTTCACTTTTCTTTTTGTCTTAATTATTTCTTGGTTTAGTCCTGTCATATCCCAACCGCAAAACAGTGGCCTTATCTGATCTTTTTATTTGTTGAGCTATGACTGAACAGTCAATTATGATCCCGCCGTTATACACTACTAAATATTTCATCCAAGTATGGATGATATTTTGCATATGATTCGTCATCCAACTTATTATCCGAATAATTTTTAATTATTTAATCTATGATATGCTATCCATATATCAGTTCATTTATATTCTTCTTTTTTCTTCCTGTTCATTTGCATATTGTTGTGCTGAATAATGCCTAATTGTGATACTGAACATTATAATATTCAGAACCTCATGCTAAATTTTACGTCAGCCACCACCTCCCAACCTCAAATCCCCCAGCATCATACTTATGTACGTGCATAAATGCATATGTGAATGCCAACTGCTGAATTGCTACCATCATTCTGTTATGTTTATCATCTGTAACGTTTATTCTCTCTTCTATTTGGCAGTCCTGATGATTGGGAGTGTTTCCTACATTATCTAGGCTGTCTGCTGGAGGATGATAGTAACTGGTGCAATGAATCGAGTATTGATCCAATTCATCCACCAAAAAGGGTGCTTTGCAAGATTTCACCTTTGGCAGACGAATTGGTAAATATATCCTCTCTCAAGTTCTCTGCTTATTTTATGCGTATTGCTTTAAGAGTAGGCAGCTCTTCGCTTTCTCTGATTTGTTTTATCAAAACTGGAAATGCAGTTTGATTCTCGTATATCAAATGCATCAGCTGTTGTACAAAGCTTACAAGAAGATAGTAACAACAAATTTTTAAGGGGTCCATTCTTGGCAAATCTAGAAATTGAAAGGAGAAAACACATGCATGGAAAGGGAAACGACGAAGAATTGTTGGGGGCTCTTACTAATTATTATGTCAGGTACATTTTGCATTTTGACTTCTGGAGGTGCAAATTTCAAATTTTATAACTTTCCTTTTTCCTTCTTAATTTGTTTATAAGGTGTTGTCCAATTTGGGTGCACCATTTTCTCCCCATGCACTCTTGATGGGGGCTACTTTTTAGGTAACTTGTTTTAGACATTTTTAAGATGTGAAGTATACAATAATCATGATGGGGGCTCCTCATCATGATTATTGTATACTGCAACTAATGTTATAAAACTAGATTGGACATGTTCTGTCCAATTATCCCTCTTAAGCTAGGGGACACCTTGACTCCTTGATGACCTTTTGTCTGTTCTATCGACTGTTTTCTTAGGGAAAAGTCTCTGACTCTCTGTTTCATATTAAAAATAAAAAAAGAAGAAAATATTGCTCTTGTTGGAATGATAACAATAAATTTAATGGCTAAATATTACTTTTAAGTGTTATGAGGGAAAAGGCTAACGAACTGAGGGATTGTGAAGTTTCAATCATTTGGTGACAAGTTAGATTGGTTAGTTATCATGAGTTTATTAGATTATGTTCTAATTTCATTCATGAATGACGTGGATTTGTTTGTTTCCTGGCCACAGGTTTGGTCACCTTGGCTGCTTCACTTCTGATGTTGAGATGTTCCTTGAGGTGTTAACTCCTGATAAGAGGACTGAATTACTGGAGAAGTTAAAGAAAACCACTCCCTTCGCATCCATCGCTACTAAGGCCCTTGGACAGACAATAACACTTTTAAAACTTCAAGATCTGATTGGAAATGTGTACCAGCTTCCAGTCTTCGGTGCGTCCCTTGATTTCATCTCATTGATTCTTGTGATCTCTGTGTGATACATTTATATGACAAGGTCAACAAATATAATAGGATCTACACTAAGGGGCTAGCATTAGAAAAAAAGATAATTTATACTAAACTGAAGAAAAGATGATGGCTTGAATTTGTCAAAATGAATCTAAAGTATTTTAAGGGGTAGATTATCAAATACACTTGAAGATGTGACCTATTTCGTTGTCACATAACACAGTCCTGATGCAAACTTTATCATGGAGTTGTATTTTTATGTCATGCAATTGACATAGTATGCTGTTCTTCCTCAGAGCTCGAGACTTGTGCAGTACAGATGGCAGACATGTACTGTAAGAACCTCTCACTTTCAAAAGATTTAGATCCTCAAGAAAGTATGCATGGGGAAGAGCTTTTATCACTGATATGCAATGTGCTGGTTCAGGTTTGTTTATATGTTCATGATGGATCTGCTTCTTTATTGTCTCATGCTGTATAATGTTTTATCAGACAATTATCAATATGTTGTAGTAAAATTTATCAAAGCATTAAATTAGCTTTCCTGTCTTTTTATTTTGTTTATTTTTTTTAGATACCTAGATTTCCTCCAACCTCTTTATGTTCCTGAGGAAAAATTTAGAATTAAAGCTTTGACAGTTTTAAATTTAGTCAGGTGGCCCAAGGGGTATCGAACCCTTGCGACCACTTGGTATTTCTCACCATGCCATCAATACTTGCAGTTGGGGTATTTTATCGTGTTTTTTTATGTTGAGCTTAACCAAAACTAAAAGTCAGGTTGCAGTGGCTGTTGGTCGTCTATGCTACTGTTAACTTTATATTATGATAGTGTGGCAAATTCACTTGTCCTATACTGATGATACATATTCGGTTTACAACTGTCTTTGGTGTATAGCTCTTTTGGCGAACACAGAATTTTGGCTACATTATAGAGGCTATTCTGGTGTTGGAGTGGGGCTTGACCATCAGAAGGTTAGATATTTTTGTTCATTGGATTCTATGAATAAAGCCTATTCTTTTGTTTGACTAAAAAGAATTCAAAAAATCGTGCTTGTCTAGTAGAAATTTTCTTTGTCCTTTCTTAAAGGATTACACCTTCAAATCTGACTAATAATAAAGTAAAGCTGAAAGGAAGAGAGCTTGGATAGTGTGATCGTAGTGAATAACCACAGTGAAGGTTTCCATCAGAAGTAGCAAGACGAATCATTCTGTAAAGATTTAAATATTTATTTTCCTTCGCAATTGATAGAGCTTGGATGGTGTCTTGAAGTATTATTACTGTATACATTCTTTTAAAACTGAAAAACCATCCATCAAGACATGTAAATGTAAGTTTCGCACCATATGACAGATGTGCAGGAAGTTTCCAATTCTGTTATCTAACACATAAATGTAATTCTCTTTTTTGCAGATACGTTTGGCAGTACAAGATCTTATTATTGCACTTGTATTCATATTTAGGCGCCCTTTCTACTGCTTATGAGTGGTTAGTATCAAATTTGTCAAGTGTTAACAAGGTTTAATCATGTGATAATTTAGTGTCTTTTTGTTTTTTTGCTTTAATTTCCTCTTTGTTTAGCTATGCTGGATAGAGATTTGACTCTATTTCTTCTCTAGGTATAAATTGTTGGATATAAAGAATATCCTGATGGAAACTGTTTTGCACCACATTTTACCCCAGATGTTGGTATCTCCTCTATGGGGAGATCTAAATAATCTTTTAAAAGACTACTTGAAGTTTATGGATGACCACTTCAGAGAGTCTGCTGATCTTACGTTTCTTGCCTATCGCCATAGAAATTATTCAAAAGTAAGTAAAAGTACTAGTTTTATACATTTTATATTGGAAATTTTACAAAGCAATATCTGCCACTTTTCTCTACTAATGTTACACAAATGCTAGTACAATGTGCTCAGCCTCTGATATGCATGGTTGAGAATGCACTCCTGTTTCCATGTACAAAGTGCTTTTTTATATTTATTTAAAGCTATATGCTATTTCGGGCATTTGCAGCCTCTTCTTTTGTGCGGGTACAAAAAATTTTCACCAATGGCACATTTAATTGTGCAATGTGGTTAAAGAAATAAAATGTGTTACAGGTAGAAAATAAAACTAGATACAGTATGCTATGACGATACATTTGGACACTCGCATGATGCCCAGGTTTGTGGGATGAAATTAATTTAAAATGTTTTTCTTGGAATTTTGTTGTCTTGTTTCTCTTGGTCACAACCTTTGCACATAGTAAAAAATATCCATTAGATGGTTCTTCGATGATCCACTCCTTTTTTTTTTT